TCTTTAATTCATCTCTCATCCTACCATCCGATGCTATATAGATACTGACAAACAACAAACTTCGTGGCTTGAGTCATCAAGCGAACAATACCGACCGAGCGACCTCCGCTTGTCGGCGAAGTTAATACCAACTTTAGCGGATAGAGGGCGTCACGTGGTCAGCGCAACGAATCCCCACGGCCGTTAATTTCGGTTTTCTAGACCGGAGGTGCTAGTTCCTTGAAATACTTCTCAGAAAATCTGGTAGCGCCGGGACGTGAACCTGGACCTCTGGATCTGTAGGCAGGACCTCTGGTCACTAGACCACAGAGGCGGTCTATAAATACTGACAAAATTGTTAAATAGTCCAAGGAAACTTGCTTGTGTACTTCGAACTTGTTTCCGTTTCATTCCTGGACTCTTTGGGCGACACTTGAGAAACAGTCACATCTGTGGATCACATCGCCATCTCTTGGCGGAGCTTCAATATACTGCAGACTCTAGTGGACCAAATTGGAACTACTTCTGAAATTGTTTATTAGTATTGATCGAGCAAGTTAGAATTTCGCAGTTCTTTTGTATTACAGGACTCGCCATTTAAAACGCGTTATTTTTGCAGCATTTTTTTGGGCTAAAACTTTGAACTAATATATAATTTTGAATTCTAGGAGAGCTGGATTTTTCTGTAGTTAGTTCATAAAATTATGTTGCGATTTAAGGTATAATTTCATAAACGTCTATGGATCCAGTAATAAAATCTCCATTACAAAGACAGATAAGCTACTCGTAATGCAATTTTGATAAATGTTCACTGTTTATTCTGAGATTAATGCGAAACATATAAGCACACTCTGTATACACAGACTCTTAAAGTTAAATCATATGTAGTTAGATCTGTGCACTAAACAGTTAATGCAACAGGATGCAACGAGTGTTAAGACACATAAGTAATTACAAAATAGCCGGAACTATAACAACCAACGTCAGAGTTCCGTAACAGACTTCAATAAGCCTAGTAACCTACTGGGAAGAATGTTGAGTGAATACAAATCGATTAGGTGAATAATTTATATTTGGACTTTTTGCCAGCATTAGAAGGAATATAATCTAACTGCCTTAGATACATGATGGAATATGAGCGGTATGATATGGTAACATTTCATCTGAAAGACCGGAATAGTGGAGCTAGAAGAAATGGCCGTTGTTAGGTAACGGCCAATAAATTTGTCACCTTGGCAACGGACACGCAAGCTAAAATAAAGAACTGCTGGAACGGTGTCTTCTATGCGACCCGTGCCGAGGTTGTATAACGAGAACCGCCGGGAAACGAGAGTCCATAACCCCATGGAGGTGGGTTCTAGTACCGCCACCGTAGCCCTGCGAGTGATAGGAGGCGACAAAAAGTTGATTTTCTGTAACAAGGTTCTTCCCACCATTGGAAATTTTCCGCTATTTGCACACGGCTGCCAACCTTCCGCATGTGTACAATTATGTAACAAAATCCTACAGGAAACAAACAAATGTCATACAGAATAATGAGAATGGATATGTTCCTAGCATAGGGCAAGGCGAAACCAGACGCACAAAATATAAGAAGCTTAAACTTGGCGGCGGTCAATCTTGCAACCGTTGAAGTGACTAAGCTGCCGTTGTAGCATAAGATACATAAGCTAGGCATGATCTGCTTTGCAAAGCCTGGACTGAGAGAGAACTTGCACTAAATATACATAATGGCCGCGCCATAGCTCAAGAGGTTAGTCGCTGGCTTCCCACCGCGGCGGCCCGGGTTCGATCCCGGGTCTGGTCAAGTGGGATTTGTGGTGGACAAAGTGGCACTGGGGCAGGTTTTCTACGAGTATTTCGGTTTCCCCTGCCAATCTTCATTCCACCAATTGCTCCACAATCACCCTCACCTATCATCTGGGGCTGATACAATAGGCCAGAAGTGGCCGCAGTACAAGGGACTTAGTCCCACCCCATTAGCAATAAAAAATATATATACATAATCAACATAATTGGTTATTGGTTCCGGGGTAGACGTATCGGCCTCTTCCTGCTTCGAGTTCATCTTCTAGTTCGAACTGGTCCATAAATCCTTTATGGCCCCAAATTCTCATCCGAGGCAGACATGGAATCATTCTTCGTGTTGCACCCAGTTTGTCCGGTATTCTTCAGCTGCTCTGTTGAGACTAAATATTGCAAGCTCTTCTCTTATATATTCTTGCTTTCTTAGTCAACCAGCTTCTTTCCTGCTACTGTTGTCAGGAATTCTATTTTCGCGGTTACTCTTCTCCTTTGTTGCTTGTTCAGAGTGCAACGCATTGCTCCGCACAGGAGCTGACGTAGCCACAACCAAAACCTCGTAACATTTTAAAATAGGTGTCTGTCTTCTTACTTTCTCTATTAGCGTTCTCATTAATATATCACGGATATGCTGACATTTTACCTTCAAAATCATCATTTTAGCCATACCTTATAACGCAAAGTCCGATCACAGTGGCCGTGCGGTCTAAAGCATGAAATGTCTTCGCTCTCTCAAACACTGGGAGTGTGGATTCGAATTCCACTTGAGTCATGGATGTCTGTGTTTGTGCTGTCCTGTGTATAGACTAGTGGCCTGGCGACGGGCTGATTCCCCACTCAAGGAGTCCTACCAACTGTGTAAAATATCAAGAAACTGGAAAGCGGTCAAACCCCAACAAAGCCTGTAGAGCTTTGTTATGTAAATGTAAAGAGGTAACGTAAATTTGTACCAACGATTAATCAATTAAGCAATGAAGATGTATGGGGGAGTGAATGTACAGATCCATGAACTCTTATCCTTGGCATTATACGGGCTTGAGTGTTCAGCTTCATGCCCGGGCCGCATGTGTCACGGGGTAGAGCCCCAGTATCCATTGGTTGGGAGGCTTGGTGGGCCCCAGAGCTTCTCTGGGCGATGTGGAGAGGAGAATATCCTTCTTCTGCCAAACATCGAAGGTCAGGCTGAAAGACTCGGTCATCCAGTTTATTGGCAGTGGCTGCACGACTGGGCTATCCCGAGTAGCCATACACGTAGTTAATAAAACAAAAACATATCAAACTCCGTGGCCTGTAGTCCACAAGCCAGCTATAACGACCGAGCGACCGCCGATTGTCGGCGAAGTTAGTGATAGAGGGCGTCGCGTGTTCAGCGCATTGGACCCCCACGGCTGTTAATCTCGGTTTTCTAGACCAGAACCGCTATTTCGTTTAAATAGCTCCTCAGTTATCCTCACAAGGCTGAGTAAACCCCGTTCCAGGCCCACTACTTCTCAGAAAATCTGCTAGGGCTGGGAATCGAACTTTGGATCTCTCGATCTGTAGCCAGTAACTCTGACCACTAGACCACATAGGCGCTCCATTCGTACTTAATATGAAACCTAAATGTTTACATTTTATGATTTTCCTATTATTGTATTATTATCGTATTTACGCATGTATAGGCCGCATATTTTTGGCCAAAAATTCAAGAGGAAAACTGGGGTGCGGCTTATATTCGAAATATTCGAAATCACACTTCATTTAAACAAAATTAACGTTGCCAAATTTCGGAATAATTTCTATTCCCGAAATAATATTCTAAGAAAATTATTTTTTTCTATAATTTTTGTCTGAAAATTGTGCTGCGGCCTATACACGCACGCGGCTTATACATGCGTAAATACGGTAATTAGTAGCCAGTGTCTTGCATCTATTGTTGTTGCCCATGAAGGCTACTACTCGTGTTTCGGAAGACAATAATGCCATATTATATTCTGCTATGCTAACTTTTAATAATAAACTCTTAAGTCTATCATGGCTGAAAAAAAGTAAAATTCATTACAACGCGTTCTCTCGTCTCGGGAAGGTCTTAACATCGAAAGTAGAAGCCGGGATGGCACAGTCAGTATAGCGACTGGATACGGGCCGGACGACTGAAAGGTCGACTTTCGATTCTCGGTAGGGTCAAGAATTTACCTTTCTCGAAGTCTTCTAGACCGGTTCTTGGGGCTCCTATCTAATGGGTTCCAGGGACACTTTCTTTGGGTTTAAAGAGGCCTGGGCGTGGAGCTGACTACTCACTTCCAACTTGTGTTGAGATGAAGAACAAGTGGGTCTATACAACCACTTTCCCATACACCTCATGGAGTGGTGCTTAATTATTTGAGCACAGGGGCAACTTTACCTTTACCTTACCACATATTTAGAGTGTGTCACCTGATATCGTTAGGACCATTACATTAAGGAGAATGCGATGTTTCATGAATTCTGTACGAAGAAAAGCAGATGATTTGAATATTCTCTGGATGTAGACTAGCCAGAAACTAATGTTCTGTACAGCCGAATTTGGAATCCGTGTTAAGATATGCACATTGTATACGTATGTACGCTATTCAGGCATTCGAATTTTATCGATAAAAAGTCGATTCTTATCGAACAGATGGTATTGCAGGCTGGAAGTATGCGGAAGCGTCACTAGGTGTCACGGCTGTTCATGCTCGTATGTATAAATCAATATCATTCGCACTTCATTCGCTCCATTTAAAGTCTCCCAGAGTCGAAAGGCGATTGCTATCAACGTAGAAAATTGTTTCCTGACTTATGGAAAGGATCTGCATCTCAAATACAATTAAAAAGTACCTGCCATGAAAACCGATATCATATTTATGAATAGGCCTCTGACTTTTGTCGAAACGGTTTTGTCTAGGTAAATAAAAGAATCATAATACCTGTGATAGATGCAGGTTATATTACGTCTCGAAAATTTCAGCGCTCTAGCATTCAGAAACTGTCCATCGTAATTGACATATTAAGTTCTGAAATGCAAATTGAATTAATTCTTAGCTATCTCCTTCGTGTTCTGATAAATACCAAATTGATGATGGTGGGAAATTTCGAAACTACTACATTTACACCAAAGCAGATGTTGTTTCTTTTTTAAGGAAATGTAATGGATGGACTTTGTAGTCTTTTTATTGGTATCACAACTTTAAAATAATTACTTTTTTTTTAATTTTCAGCAAATGAATGTCGGAAGATACGGCTCCGCTACCAAGTTAAAAAGAAGGATGAGGTAAGGTGAAATGAAATAAGGTGAGACGAAATAAGATAAAATAAGATGAGGTGAGGTGATACGCTTCTCTGCAGAAGTTGTTGCCTGTTGTTAAAAATTATGGAAATAACCATCCAAATCGTATTCCCCTCCGTTTAATAGGAATTGGAGGATATTCATAAATTTGTATTGATGAGGTCGCAAACGGCTGCACTTGACCTTCAAGCCTCCTACGCTATTACATTACTGGGTGCTTGGGAAAAGGGACTCTTACATATGCCTTTCAAGAAATACACTGTAATTTTTAATTAAAAATATTAAACGTTAATGTGTCAACGGTGTTAAGCCGCGAGATTCAAATATCGACGAAGAAGACGGTTCGCTAGAAACGTAAAGCAACTCTTCATGTGTTCTCAGAGTAAAATTATCCCTTGTGCATCACTTGATGAAATATTCCCAACAGAAAAATCTAGAAACGGACGCAATTCAAGGTACTGAATACAGAATGTTTGAGAACAATGTTTTGATCTAAATTCATGGAGCTGAGCCCTTCTTGAGAAGATCCTCAAGAACTTCCCAACATTTTATGGAACCCGAAGGTTAATTACCTTCTTCACAAGAGCCCTCCACTGGTCCCTATCCTTCGCCAGCTCCAATGTTTGTGCATACGAGAGAGAAAACAACAGGGGGGGTGGAGATTATTATGAAATGAATAACTTCGTACTTTGCATTTTTTGTGACCGGGGCATACCTTTTAATATTAATATACATTTTAGAGGAATGTTTTGTGAAATTGCAAACTGTTTTTAACTGCCTCAAAATAGGTTCCAATTACGAGTGTTTGTAAACGCCTAATGAACTTTCGGGTCCGATAAACTGAGAGAAGTTTTCGGCCAAATTACGTGCGTAATTAAAGACAGGTCAAGTACGTGGACTTCTTAGTAGAACACATTTTTTTATCGATTTCCTTCTTTTTTTTTCTGTAAGAAGTTACAATAAGCAAAAGGTAGGATCATATAATATTGACATGTAGGAGGCTACTCATCAGTAGACGCCTTTCGTATAATAATCCATACAGATTAGTTGTGTTTGCAGGAGTAGAACTTACATCTAACTTACATCTATAACCTCAATCTAGCTTATAAACTAAATATAATGCTTAAGATCATTTGGCGGGAAGCGTTTAAGTTTTCTGTTCCGAATTGGCTGGCTCATGAGGTCTATTGCTAGTGCGTTTGGATGCTTGTTAAGTCTGTTACTATATTTAACACTAAGTTCTTTTATTTCTTCTTTGACTCTAGTCATACCAAGGCCATTCCGGATGAGATTGTTAGGCACACACCAGGGGGCACTGGTTATCATGCAAAGTGCCTTTGACTGGTAGCGTTCTAATATGAGCTCGTTCCCCACAGTTGGGTTCTATACGTTCAGATGGGCTTCAGTATGATTTTGTAACCCAATAGTTTGCTGTCAAGTGTCAGCTTGGAGGTTCTTCCTATTATCCAGTATAGTTTGGTGAGTCTAGTAGAACGCATAAAGCGTATTTCATATTGCATATATTTCTAGTGCTGTAAGTTATTTTTGTTATTTGTGATATTTAATTTCATTTCGTTTTTATGAAGAACTTATTACTCTGTAAGATTCGAGGTTTTCACGCCGGTGACTATGAAGAAATCCGTCTTCTGAGATGTGGCACCGTGTAGAAGTGGTGTTTGTACCGGTTCTCAAGGTCTCTTCGCTTGCGGATTTTCTTATTTTTCCTTCTACCCTGAAGACGGAGGCGATACGTTCCTCCGAAACGTCGATTAACACCACTTCTACACGGTGTCACATTCCAGAAGACGGTTTTCTTCAGTTTATTACTCATATAATCTCTCTAGCTTGAACTTGTCGATCCTAACCTATTTGCACCCTAACAATATGCATAACTTTTGACTCGTAAACAATGCATTATACATACGGAATAACCAATTCTACGATCTGTGTCCGCCGATCACGGCGGCCGCGCGGTCTAAAGCATAACTGTCTTTGCTCGTCGAACACTCGAGGGTTCGAATCCCACTCAAAGGTATGGATGTTTGTGTGTAGATAGCGACCTTGAGACGGGCTGATCACTCGTCCGAAGAATCCTACCGTTTGTGTAAAAAAGATTACAAAACTGAAGAAGAGACCAGGGCCCAACAAAGGGCTGTAGAGCCAGTGATGAATGAATGAATGAACGAACGATATGTCTCCATGCCAAGTTTCAGCTCCGTAGGCTAAACTGTTCATTGGTTATCTCCATCAAATCAAAACAGAAGATTTCCCTGTACTATCCATGCTGGTATTTTACTTTCGACAGGAACACAGTCTCAGCAAAATTTACACAGTTACTCATGATCTCTTGCCACAAATCACTTCAGGACCATAAATTAAATGACGCTAGTCCCGATTTCTCTTCATAATTTCGCGCATCTGCCATGTTGTTACAAGTCTGTGGGACGATAAACATTTTGGCGAGCTCCAGTGACCTAATGGTTATATAAAGTTAGCCAGAAGCAGGCAGGCTGCTTCAGAAGATGGGGACAGGGGGGGACAGGAGGGGACAGGCCAGTAGATGCATAGAAACAGGCGGAAGGGGTCTGAAGTCCCCATCTTACACATTCTTCATTGAGGCAGGAAAGTACACTCCAATATGGCAACTATCCCACAAAATACCAAAATCCTCTTCTTATGGAAGAAGTTTGTTTGGCTGGCCCATCTATCACGGCTCTTTCATTCATCACCTGCATGAGACCTGTATCCTGTCCATTCTTTTCAGAACTGGTTCATTATCAAAGCGTGCCCAATCCCAAGATATTGAAATGTATAAGTACATCTACTTATTAACCCTACACAAATCTTTCCCAGTTTAGTGACAATTTCACGGAGCTCAGCCCTTCTAGAGAAGTCGCTTGTAACTCGGCTAATCAAGAATTAACCATTACTTTATGGAACACAAAGGTTCATTACAGTGTTCACAAGAGCCCTCTACTAATCCGTTTTGAGCTAGATCAGTCCAGTCCATAACATTCCATCCTATCGCTCTATAATAAATTTTAATAATATCAATCTTCCTGAGTCTATGTCTTCATAATGGTCTGTTCCCTTCTGGCTTTCCCACAAAACCTCTATATATTCTGTTCTTATCCACCATCAGTACTACATGCCTGCCCATCTCATCCTCATTGACTTGATCATTCTAATTATATTTGGTAAAGAGTACAAGTTATGAAGCTCCTCATTATGCAGTTTTCTCCAACCTCTATCACTTCTTCCATTTTTGGTCCAGATATTTTCATAAAATATTATATTTTATGCTATGTCTTCTGTTTTAGTGGCAAGACACGGCGTAAAATAGACCATTATCTTTTCATGTTAAGCCAGCATCACTTATTTATATGAGGGTCCTAACCAACGAGTCTCTGCAGCAGTCATTATGCATTCGTGAAGTAAAGTGCTTAGAATTAAAAAGGAAAGAGGAATTCGTGTCTGTCTAATCATCTGAAAACATATTTCAAATTTGAATTGTAGCACTTCTCCGTATGGTGAAAGTATGGAAATGAAAAAGCGTTCTGGTTATGCGATTTACTGCGAAAAAAAAAATAGAAATATAGAGCACTGGACTAGGCAACATGTCGACAAACACCTTTGGAAAATATGTAATTTCAATGGAATACATCTTCCCGCCCCTGTTCAAGGACTTGACGTTGTGTAAATAGGAACAGGTGTGAGGCCAGACTTCTATTTTGTGCTTCTCAGATTTTGTTTGGAATTCGTGACGACGGTTCGGATGTGAACACTCGTGTTCTCCTAATGAAACTCACAGGTTAGGCATGGGCATGCTGACATCGTTACAGAAAACATAAGTGTTTCAAAAACAAAATTATCCTACAGCTTCACAGCCTCCTGTAAACAGCACGGAAATTTCGTTGACCATTCTCCAATTCAGATTTACGTGTATTTTGATCACTGAGAATATGCAAGAAATGCATTTTTAGTGTGAAGCATTGCCGGTTACGGTGGCCCCGCGGACTAAGGTATGAACTGTCTTTGCTCACTGGAACATTTGGATCATCCTCGAATCCAACTTGAAGCGTGAGTGCCTGTGTGTTTATTCTGTATTTGCGCTGTCCTGTGTGTAGGTAGCGGTCTTGCGACGGGCTGATCCCCCGTCCAAGGAGTCCTACCGTCTGTGTAAAATATCAAGAAACTGAAAAGGCGGCCAAAGCCCAATAAAGGGTTGCAGAGTCATAGATAGATAGATAGACAAATACTAGATAGATAGATAGATAGATAGATAGATAGATAGATATTGAGAAGCTGTTTTTAATTAGGTAATTTGTTATAGGAAACACTCAACCACACAGAAAACAAGGAGATTTCATAAGCCTAATTTTCCCTTAAGAAATTAAAGCATGTTAATTAGGAATCGCTATATTTTCTTCTACTTTAAACTGTTATTGAGAAAACAGTTAAATTTAAACTGAGTTTATATTTAAGTACTGATTATGGGTTCTTTTGATTTTCATGGAGAAGCAAATTCCTATGATAAAATCTAGTAAAGAATGTCACTTAAAATTTTTCAATAGTTTGAAAATAAAATAATGAAGACAACGAATGGACACTAACTGTTCATTATATCATCATTTTTTGCTACTATGAAAACGTCACTTAAAAACCGAATTTAGAATTAACTTTGCTGTTGTTACTGTATAAGTTTTCGAACTCTTAGCAGAAATCAACATTTATTCACATCCACAGTTTCTTAACTTTACAATGAGCAATCTTACTGAAAGTTGTCACTAAATCTCGAGGTCTTAATAACTAATCCCAATTGTGCAAGATCATTTCATTGTGAAAGAATACACACATATTCGGTACATTCATGTATTCGCGATGAAGCTTATTTCATGTTATTCATGTGATCGTTTTATTATCTCGTGTTTTTTTTTTCTTAATGTGACAGTCAAATATAGTAACAAGAGTTCGAAATTCGTACGCAATGT